GTAGAAGGATGAAACAACTGCATGATGCAGCATCACTGACGAGTCCTAGAAGGACGAAACAGATTTATGATGAAGCATCACTGAAGAGTACTATAAGAACGAAACAGCTGTATGATGCAGCATCACTGACGAGTCCTCTAGTAGGATGACACATCTGTATGATGCAGCATCACTGACAAGTCCTAGAAGGACGAAACAGCTGTATGATGCAGCATCACTGACGAGTCCTCTAGTAGGATGACACATCTGTATGATGCAGCATCACTGACAAGTCCTAGAAGGACGAAACAGCTGTATGATGCAGCATCACTGACGAGTCCTAGAAGGACGAAACAGCTGTATGATGCAGCATCACTGACGAGTCCTAGAAGGACGAAACAGATGCATGATGCAGTTATTCGGTTTTACATCCCAATCTAAATTTGTATTAAAAAGTGTTATTCACTTGTGTGTCTTTTGTACTGTTTTTATTCCCATATCACGGAAGTCGTGTCCACACTGTTGTGATTCCGTTTTAGTTGTTATAATGGATTTCCATATCAGAAATATATCATTAACCACATAAAACATATTTCCTGATTCATCAATACATTTCCTTATTTAGTCATTATAAATTATAAATACCTCAGGAAAAATGGCATTTGTTGTGATAGAAAATATCAACTTCATTTCCAGTTTAAACAAATCTATCTTAAAGTGTATTTAGCCATGTCACTTTTTAAACTCGTCACATAAAAGTCAACCATTTGTCAGTGTAACAAAAACGGTAAGTATGAAATGAAGATTGATATTTCAATTACACTTTGTGTCAGTGTTAAAAATGATAAACATGATTTCAATTACATTTTGTGTCAGTGTAAAGAATGATAAATATTACACCGTGTGTCAGTGTAAAGAACGATAAATATTACATCGTGTGTCAGTGTAAAGAACGGAAAATATTACACCGTGTGTCAGTGTAAAGAATGATAAATATTACACCGTGTGTCAGTGTAAAGAATGAAAATATTACACCGTGTGTCAGTGTAAAGAATGATAAATATTACACCGTGTGTCAGTGTAAAGAATGATAAATATTACACCGTGTGTCAGTGTAAAGAATGATAAATATTACACCGTGTGTCAGTGTAAAGAATGATAAATATTACACCGTGTGTCAGTGTAAAGAATGATAAATATTACACCGTGTGTCAGTGTAAAGAATGATAAATATTACACCGTGTGTCAGTGTAAAGAATGATAAATATTACACCGTGTGTCAGTGTAAAGAATGATAAATATTACACCGTGTGTCAGTGTAAAGAACGATAAATATTACACCGTGTGTCAGTGTAAAGAATGATAAATATTACACCGTGTGTCAGTGTAAAGAATGAAAATATTACACCGTGTGTCAGTGTAAAGAATGATAAATATTACACCGTGTGTCAGTGTAAAGAACGATAAATATTACACCGTGTGTCAGTGTAAAGAATGATAAATATTACACCGTGTGTCAGTGTAAAGAACGATAAATATGAAATGAAGATCGGTATTTCAATTAAACCGTGTATCAGTGTAAAAAAAATGATGGATTGATATTTTAATTATACCTTGTCATCAATCGATAATTTCAATCACATCGTGTGTCGGTGCAAAGAATGTTAAATATGAAATGAAGATCGATATTTCAACTCCACCGTGTCAGTAATCAACAGTTCAATTATACAGAATGTCAGTATAGAGAATTGTACATCGATATTTTAATTAAACAGTTTGTCTGATGGTTAATATTAAATTGCCATATGGTAAATAGTAAATAAAGATCGATATTTTGATTAGGTCGTTTAACAGTATGATGGTAAAAGAATATCGTTAATTAAGTCGTGCGGCGTATGTCAGCAACTTGTTCTATACTGACAAAGATTGTCATTTTACTGATTCACTGTCATTTTATCGTATTGTCGATATTCGGAATTGTCAGTTCTGTGCTTTTATTCCAGTCGTATTGTTAATGTATTATAAGTAATTATATATGGTAATAAAGAACCAACGTGGTGTTTTATCGATACAGTCCTGACGTCATCTGTCATTATAAAGAGGTGTAAGTATATAGTAAAGAATCGGAGTGTCCTTTCTGTCGTCTGCTATTACAACCAATGGTAAGTGCAAAATAAATCACCCACGTTCCTATTGACGTCCGTGACATCAAACTAGCCATAACCAGACCAAGTGTTAAAGATCAATGAAATGGACTATACTGTAGCCGCAATGATTGGCCCTTGATACATGTTCTAGGGGCTCAAACCACGCCACCTGAAAAGGTTAAAGTCTGAGACATCCATTAGGGCAATGCCGGATAATTGATTTCCGTTCCTACTCCATGGTTGTACAAAGGAAATTTGATGCATCTTGCGCGTTACAAAGGCAACGGCGAAGCCATCTAGTCGCCTTTAATGGTCATCTCCATGTTGACCCGTGGTGAAAATTGGCGTGTTGCGTCCAGACATAGCGCAGAACTTCATTTCTTGGAACAAAAAATAAATGAAATACTAGACAATATGCTGGGTTCTAAAAATACCTGCGATGACAAATAATATCAATATATAGCGGGACTGTGCTCGTGACACAACGAAGCAGACGACAGTTAAATCTGATTGAAATTATCGACAGATTACACTGTATGCCACGACAACCGATTGACGTGTCTAATCCGGGTATCGCAATTGCGTGTGTTGATGTCCCACGGGTGATAATATGTATGTTGCGAAATACGTCATCCGCATTTGTCTACCAGAAAATAAGTCTAGCAATGGCAATAACATACACGAATATATACATATATTATGTATATTATTTGTTGTCATTTCCGTTTTGGGGTCTTACGATGTCTTCCCGGTGGTCCTGGCATTTCCGGTTCCTGTTGAAGTCTTTTTAGATGGACAATGAAAATCTTCCAACTGATTTTTGGTTGTTGTATGTGAGAGAGTGTGTTGTATTATAGAACATACAGAATGGAATTATTACCTACAATCTAAATACATCTATTGTCGAAAATTATTAGAAAAGAGTATTTAAATTTGTCTGGTCACCAGTTCTTACACTCAGTTACCCACTTACTCCGAAACCAAGAAATCAAGATTTTTGTCTTTATTTTCTGTAAATTTCTAGAAACAGTAGCCAATCACCCAGTTTATGTTTTATAATTACGTATCCACAAGTTTTTATCAACGCTATCATACAGTTGTTACTGGTCAACTGGGTAACGTACTTGGGTTCTGCCATTTGGGAAAATCGAAAGCTAATTGGTCACATGAAAGTATGTTTCAATTATTAGCATGTGCCCGGAGTGATCCATTCGTCAGTATACCAATCTGATAGAATTATTATCTCTCCCAATCTTCAGTGAATTAATAAAATGATGTTTACCGTTCCTATTGAATATTCCCATTTAACAGTTAAAATGTGCATTTAAGCTCGATTTAAAAAAAAGAAAGATATATTGCATTGAACTGAAAACGCGAACTACATCTGAATAAACACAGCAATTAAGATCGATATCGAAGTAAATTTCGTGATTAATATATTAACATGAACGCCTGGAGGGTTTTAGTTAAGACAATCATGACAGTTGATAAAACTAAACCGGATAGAGAAACAAGTTGTTTAGCTAGGAGTCCTAAAACGCATCAGAATTATCATTCTCTCCGGCTCTGCAATCAAACGATGAAGAATATTTGTTGTAGCAGAAAATTGAATCTTCATCAATGTGTCGCTATTCTGTCTTCGGGAAAGTTTTAACATTGAGATCATGTAGCGTCAATTTGTCGTGTTGCTGATGGAGAATGTGTTCCTTAGGTTGACCTGTATTGCAATACCAATAGTACATTGTGAACCTACTTTCGTTCGGTAAAGGTTGTTTCTAGTGTTCAGAAAACCAATTAAGTGGTGGCTATACTGCTGCCATTTTTGTTGTTTTCTATCATTATTATTATTTTTTCATTTTATTCTATTCTTTTAATGCTTTTGACAATAATTTGTTCAAAAGGCACACAATTTTGAGTTAATAGCACCTTTCAATACAAATTTAAAATTGGATACAGTAGGGCCAAATAATGAATTCAACTGTTCCTATGTCCTTCTAGAGCTCTCAGGATGCTAAGGGCATAAATTTTTGAAATCTAGGAGAGTTTGAAGCTAGATGGAATGTTGCACTAACCCCAAAATTTAATCAATTTTATGATTATCACTACTGAATTATTGCAGAAGAACAAGTACATGTGTATACTCTGAACTGTGCCAAATTTAATAAAATTGTGACATCCAGATTTAAAGTATAGAACAAGGAATTTTATACCTAAATACATATAGATAGGTCAGTGTTATACTGTACAAGTTATGTATGTACCTCATAAAATGTGATTTTAAAAGTAAAATAATTTGGTATAATTCTACTTCTAATTTACAAATTTATTATTGTTTTCATACGATTAGCTGTTTTTCTTTAGAGTTTTGAGTTGTTTCACTAGCTAAGGTAATTTGTACAACTTGCTCATAAGCAACTGCCAGCTTTGGGTTGAGTTCACTCAGAGTTAAAAACAAAATCTCTCTGAAATGTCACTTGATTACCAAATTACTCTTAGTTCACTCACTGGTTTATCAACTCATCAACAACTAAGGTCATTCTGAGGGGGTTTCTGCTTGTAGTTACCAATGGCTACCGCACTGAACAACATAAAAGAGGTGCACCATTTGTTATTCAGAGCAATTTAGATAAAGTGTCTTACCCATGGATACAGCCAGGAGAACACAGAGCTCAGTTCATGAGAAACACAATACACATTGATCTTAACCTGAAGTTGTATAGTCTTTTGACTCTCTGAGTTGTCTCCCCCTAGTTTACATGACAACAGATTAATCAGATATACATTCATCAAGGCAGAGTAAGTAAAAGAGAGTAAATGACACCAAAATATTAGTATCAACAAACATCAATAAAAAAAACAAAAACAAAAATAAAATATTTTTATGAAAATATTTATTTTTTTAAATCGAAAATCTGATCAAATATAAATGAAACGATAGTATAAAGAGTATGTAACTTCTGTCACTTACAGAAATGAATGATGAATGAAAGCGATTTAAGTGAGATAATATACCACTACTTCCTTGACCAGGTTGACAATTACTCCCACATGATGTGTTTGTATCATTGTGGGAAGCTTTACATTAATCACACAACCAAGCTGACCTCTACACGACACGTACAAGTAGTCACAATTTCAGGTGCTTCTATATACTCTGCTATAAAATCAGAAAATTCAATTAACTTGAATATTTTTTTCATTGAGCACTGTCATACAAAGATGTTTTTCCCCATCACTACAATATATAATAAATGAAACTCAAATATCTCATTTCTGGAACGATAATAAAGGTTGCGATGAGTTTGTGTTTCAATTTCGTTTTAAAATTGAAAAAATATTGATTTTTTTCTTTGGAAATAATGAAAAAAGTTCCAGTGCTAAAAATTTCTCATGTCAAAAGTGTATTAATAACATACCTCATTACAATATTAAAGAGAAAAAAAAACAATTAAAATATATTATGTTTTAACAATCAAAATAATTTTGTTTGTAACATTGCAACAATATAAATCATTACTATCTATTGTTTAATAAACATAACAACAAAGAGAGAAACAGGATCACATACACTTGTTTCAGAATAAGAAACAGTCGTTAATTTCAATAAAATGTTTTTCTGGTCTTGGGTTAAATAATTTCAAATTTTGTATCATGTCCCTGTTTCCTTCTATACAAATGAGATGTCAATCTGTTCATTGTAGAAAACAAAGTATAAACTCTAAACGACTTTCACAACCATTATAACACAATCAAAAGGATACATGCTCACACTTAGGACCTGGTTGGTAGATAAATTATGATTCCGGATGAATAGAATGTACAAAATGAATAATAACTCACACCACTGACTAGTTTTGTAATGAAACATGAATAGTAACCACACAGAAACAATCATTCATTCATCTATACATAGTAACATGTCAACCAATTTATAACCATGTGCAGGTAACCACCTATATAGACTTCATGTAATGTTCACATTTGACCTCAAATGACAAACCAAATTTGTGATTTTAAGCAACCCCAAAACGAATATATACAATATCAGAATTCAGCACCAAGCCAAATCACCCATTGTTTCCTCTTTAGTTTCATGAACCCTTGTCTGCTGTAATAAAGTTTAATAACATTGCCCCATGTTTTAATTGATACAATCACTCCGCTGTGATGAAAACTGTAAGACTGTACGTCTCTGAACTTCAAAAATATCACATCTTTCTCCATGTGGGTAAAAACACATTTACATTTGCTCTTGCAAAAATATGTCGTTTAAACAAATCATTTAATGTTTCTTGGCTGACCATGACGACATATCAAGGTTCATCCATCAAAAATACCAATACATGTCATTGTACATGTATAACCATATATCCAACACAAAATATCACTCATCCTCCTATCAAGATACCAACAGAACTTAGTTACCATACAAAGGATAGCGAGACCTAGTCATTATAAAGGTGTTGTTTTTTTCAGGTAGTTTTTTTATATCACTGACACCAGTTTTTAATTCTTCATAACACATTAGTAGATTGTTTACTTTAATTGGATATTTTACCAGTGTTTGATTTTCTAAATTAATTTATTTTGTAACATATTTTCCAAATTTCTTTCCAAATTGCTGCTCTAGCTGTTATCCTGGTGTAGGAAGTAATCTCGCTAATACAACTTTCACGCCCAACTGATCTCACATCAAGTCAAAACAATGGAAAGTTGAAATTTTCAATTATTTTACATCTTATGTACAAAAAATGTCTTTTAACATTAAAAAAAATCAAAAGTGATAAAAAAGACTTCCTCAGTCATTTAAATGCTTTTTATATGATGTTTATGTTAATGTATGAAAAAAGCTACAGTGTGTATATATATATACACAAGTACACAACCCCAATGCTTATATCCACTGAGGTCGCCAGTTCAAGAAGAGGCACATGGATTAAAACATCTCAAGGGTTTTTTCTTATAAAATTGCAAAACATTTTTTGTTCAAAATTCATGAGACATGTAGAAATATGAAATGTGAAATGAGAAATGTTATCGAGATAGAAGATTATAAGAGAAAGTGGTTTTGTGCACAACAGTAGTAAGGGGAAAAGTTGTTTGTAGAGTAAATATTTTGAAATGTTTATAATTCAAGTTTTGACCACATAAGCTATGATTGAAGTTGCATATAATTTTTTCTATGTTAGTACCTTAATATTTTAATGCCTCTTAGAATCAGCCTTTTAAAATGAACAGGAAAATAAAATAAAATTTAGCAGTTCATTTAAAAAAAAAGTTTTTCACAGGTTTTTGGTTTTTTTAACAAAAATTTTTTAACACAGCTTTCAAAGCAAATCAATTTAATCCTTAACATTATAGCTTAAAAAATTGAACATGAACAAAAAAATATTTGGTGGTAAATTCAAAATTCTTTCAGATTTCCCCATCTTTTTTCAATTGTATATGTAAAAGGACCAACCAGAACTTTCAGTACTTTTAGCTAATGGATAAACTGTATTGGGGTTACGATATGTTGTCTGGAGTGACCTTGGGGATGAAATGCAGTATATGGCAAGGTCACATTTTGTACTGTGCTGCCTTCAATCATAATAAAAAAAAATTAAAAGAAACTAATAGCATACTTTTAGGCATGTACAAATTATTCTCAATAATTGATGACAATGATGATGTAGCAAACCATGTGTCTTGTATTATATTGCATATGATACATGTTGTATTTGTAAATTAGGATTTAAATATTTTACACCTGGAACTTTATTTAATTTCTATTTCAAGAACTCTACACTAATGCATCAAAAACAATGTTTCTTCATTCAATTAATTTTAAAAGATGTTGAGGTGAAGTCATCATTGCTATGTTCATATCCAAAATCTTTGAAGCATAGCATATGTTCATCAATAACTGTTTCAATGTGTGGCTCATAAACTTGCAACTGCCAACAAATGCATAAGCTGTTGATTTCAGTATGTTTGCATGATAATTATATAGTCCATATAGTGATAAGGTTCCTATATATTTTTTTATTCTGATATTATTTGCATTTTGAACATACTTTGATTTGGTTTGAAGAAATACATTTTTTCAAGTTCAAGTTTTGTAACATATAACAGTTTCATGAAATCAAATAAATTTGAAGGAAGGCAAAACTTCAGATGTTGTTTAGTTGAAATGAGTGTTAATTGAAACCTGTCACAAACAGTTCTGTTACAACAACAGGTTTTTATCACATGACTGTTCTGTTTTTCAAATAAATAATTGTACTCATTTCATAAATATCATCATCTTTGAACTTCAGGATTTACAATCTTTTAATAAGGATTGACATGAACATCCTTTGGTTGAAATGGTGAAATATGGTAGAATTCACCGTTGTTTTGTTTATAGTCAAAAAAACAAATCAACAGAGTCGAAATTTGTCAGTGTTCGATGGAAATTAAATCAAGATTTTTACTACCTATATTTTTTTAAATACAAATTATGTGATAAATAGAATCTTATATTCCTGTCATATTGAAGTTACTTAACTTGTCCGATATTAAAACATAACTATCACCTACCAGCTTATAAAATCATATTAGCATACCCTGGTTTAGTTACCTCAATACAAATAGCTTCTCATTTCAGTACATTTATATAAGATGGCAGACTTTAAGTACAGCTTGGGTATTCTTCATCTCACATATCCAATGTAAAGAAGAATGCTTTTTGCCGTAGTCTTCTTTCTCAATCTTTCACATTAATATATTTTCATAATTTGCACAATTTGCTAAATAATGAAAAGTAGACAGATATATATATATGATGTCACTGTTAATTTCCTGATTAATATACACTGTATATCTATGCAACTATACATATATATTACATATATATATTTCCTGGAATGTATTAGAACAGCTTACCATTAAAGGAACAGCCATCTTAATGACTAAATGGAATGATATAATTAGTGGTGGTCACTGAATTTGACCCAAGGAATTTGTTTTGCAATATTCACACAAAAGTCCATACCCAAATACAGGATATATGTTGACTGCACTTTAAAAACACTCCAGCGAAATCCTTGATTTGGATCACTTTCTCCATAAAACAATGATTTTGATAACAGAAGTCATATCACTATTTGGTCAATCTTATCCAAATACAAAGTTGCACTATGGCAGTCACTTATATGCACTTTTAAACTGACTCCTGTTATCTGCGTTTCTGTTTCATATATTGCTCTGGTGTAATTGAAAATAACTTTCAATACAACAAGATCCAAAATGCACTACTGGTTGTCTAGACAACAAGGGACAAAACTGTGTTCAAAGGGTTTGTTTCTCTAGCACATGCACTCCCTGAAACCTTCATTAAAAGAACTAATGATATTATCTCCATCTGGTATGTCCTTGTTCGAGTACTCATGATCCAAATGTTAAGGAATTTTCTTTTGGTTCATTCCAATAAAACCCAGTCTAAATGGTTTGAATTTCCAATTAACAAATCAAATTATGCTGTTGATCCTTTAGGGTAAAGTCCTACGTAAAACTACTATTAAAACGGCCATTATTTTCACTAATATGCAGGATGTTTAATGCTGCTCTGTATAAAGGCACTGTTCTTAATTCTAAAGTAGAGACACATGTGTTGTTGCTATGGACTTTACTCTGTGATCTGTGTTCTATCTTCTAAATTATGAAAGAGCAAGTTCGGTTTCCTTCATTCCTTGATGTTCTGATCAGCTCAGTGTCTTCTTCAAACCTTTGACCAATGGCTGGTCTTTTTACTTTTGATATCAGAATTTTCAATTATCTTTGACATTTGTTTCTGAATTTTTGTAAGAAGTAGCGTTGTGGACAAAGGCATTGTGCCCAGTCTCCATGATAATGAATAGCTGAACAGGTAAATATCCTTGCCACTTAATCATGTCCTTCGCAGTCCATGAAAGTGATGCGTCTGATCCAGTACAGTCCTTGTATATCCATATCGCAATATCATTTCCACGAAACCTTTCCCATGTGCATGTCCACAACCCAAAGCAGCACTATAATGATTTGTATGAAATTCACAATCATTATTTGTTTTCAATCCAGTTTATCCTTGGAATCTCTTTGTATGAGAATGGATCGAGTCTGTAATGAATTCAGTCTCATATTTTCAACACAAACAACCGAATGCTGGTCCAAAATCACAGTCTAGAAGTACTAATGTCAAAAGCTACACCGCCAATTCTGTGATGAGGAATGCATTAACTACACAGCGTGATGCTTATTCCGTCTGAATAAACAAAAAATTAATTGTCCATCAAGTGATATGATTCAGCGCTTGTATATCCAGTGCAACTTCCCAAATTTAATGACAGCACTATTACAATACACCAGCTTCAGCAGTAACAATGGAAAATTCGCGTGCAAAAAAAAAAAAAATTAAAAATGGTCTCGTGTTGCTGCACTTCTGTCACAGGTAGATGTGTTGACAGTAGGCGAGTGGGTCAACACAATGCATGTGTTACCATAGTCTACATGTTGTGGCAATGATGCCACTGATGGCACAAAATCACATGGACTGAGCAATGTGGCAATTTGTAAGCACATTGCCGTGATACCTTGTCAGCACACATGGCCACATTCAATGGATCAGTATACCACATAGCTGTTACAGCTTTAAATCATATTTTCTGACCAATGTGCCAATTTTTGTCTAGTTTTGCAGTGACAAAATGTTGGCACATGATCACATTGCTTGAGCAATGGACCAGTCTGTGGCCACGTTTCTGTGATGCCGATATGCCATTGTGCCTATGGACGGAAGGCAAGTGAGCCAAAAATTAAAAAAAAAACAGGTGTCAACTACAGCAGTGTTAAATATCTTCTTCATCGTCGTCTCCCTTTTTCACTCTTGCACACAAACAGAATGCTATTATTGTACCAACAATCTGCAACAAAAGATAATATTCTGTTTAGAAATGCCAAAAAAATTTAATCCCTTTTTTTTAAATACTTGTAATAATTTCTGTATTTCTATTCTTTTGCATTTTCCTTTTTTCATAGCTATTTTTCTTTTTTTTTTTAAATTATATATTTTGAATTTTTTTAGAAAAGGAGTTAAAAGTACATTCTACTTCCATACTGACTTTCTATTACAATATATATACCAAGACCCATATACTCACAATATAATGTTTCCTAAAAATAACTCTTATTTACAACAGCTACCGAAATATTTGCTTGCCCTATAATCTGTATTGCTCTGTTAACATCATTGCTGGGTAATTGTGCTAGACCATGACTGCACTGGTACCCGTTTCTGTATATAGAGGGAAATTTTTCACCCAGAAATCATTTCACCCTTTGCTAGTTTGTTTTATTCATGAATAAGTTCAACCCAAAATACCTCAAAAGATATGCAGCTTAAGTGTCAAACTTTACCCTACTTTTTATTTTTGGTTTCTTGGAACAGGGTGATAGTTCAGCCATGACAAAAGTTTCACATTATACAAGTATACAATACACTGTTAAGATACCTACCAAAAATATTGGTACAGCAAAGGCTACAGCTCCAAGTATTAATGAATGTTGTAGCATGTAGTCAATGACTTTATCATAACAACCCTGTAAAATACAGAAAATAAGTCAGAAATATCATTTCAGAAATAAAGAGAGGCTTCATTTCATCATAACAACCCTGTAAAATACAGAAAATAGTCAGAAATATCATTTCAGAAATAATAATAGGCTTCATTTCATCATGTTGATTTACTATAAGATGTTTTGTATGTAGTCAAATGTTTATCGTAAATTTTAATTTTTTTCCTGAAGAAAGCAACACTAAGGTCATGGATGCTGCTTTGAAATGAGTATACAATGGATTTTTTTCTCTGACTTTACTGACTTTAAAACACAATTAAGTACCTGCCCTCTTTTGTTCAAGAACTTAAACATTCTTAAAGTTACCTAAATAAATCACAGGTTTCTTTCAATATTAGATAACTCATAAAATGTGAAAACAATTCTTTTATATCAGCAATTACTTGATGAATGTTCCTTTAATAAACAAACAGAATGTTTAAAATTACAGAGTGATTTTATTTGGGATCACAAATTGTTTACGGTTGGTAAATCAAGTAATAATTTATGAACATCAAAGGTTTTCTTAATTTAGCTAACATTAACAACACAAACAAGCATGTTTATAAAATAATGGAATCTTAAACTATAAGTTAGATCTACAAAACTGCAATACACTATGCTAAATTTTCAACTTGCATGTGCCACTTTTATTCAATATCTGAGATTGTTTTGCTAACACCGATTATTTCACATATAGAAAACTCAATTTTACATGTATGTTTTCTATTATGAAAGGTGTTTTTAACATTTTTATGTATTTTATTTTATTTCATGTTCTTCAATATAAATTATAAAAAGCCTGAAACTAGTGACGCCCCACCTTAAAAACCTTCAAGAAAATCAATTATTAATTCCTGAAAATTTCTATACAGGCGATGAAAACCTCTTCATGATGTACAGACTTGAAAGCATCTTGTCTAGACAAATTTGTTTGAAGAACTAATTTCTAAAACTTCAACTGCCAGGGAGGTCTATAACATTTCAATATTTAAGCATTCCAATGTTTTCTTCAAAAATGGTTTGAATTGAGCCATGAAAAATCAGCCTATCAACTGACTGAAGTGTAAAAATCATTTGTCAATGTGGAAATTATTGGGGTGCCACTTCAAGAAATAATGACTTGTTTTACACAAAAGGACTATAAATTATTGGATTGATACTTTTCTTCATGACATCAAATCAATAAAATTATACATCAAATATATCATGATTGCTTATTCTTAAAAAATGATTTGTGGAAGTGTGCAAAAACAATCCATGTCTGTGAGTTTTTAAGTTTATAGAAGTGGTATGAGAAAGACAGGAACAGAGCTATTTGCAAGATATATCGTCATGTGAAAGGCAATTCAGGAAACAGTTTACAGGTCAAAAGCAAAATGACTCTGATGCTGAGACTTATGGTAATGAGGTTCAAGACCTAATAACCAGATGGTATTTACAGATATTTAAGGATATTTGGTACCTTCTATGTTACAACCCTAATTTCTGTTAGAGTTATCTCCCTTTATGATATGTACATAAACATTTCCCAATTATTCTGAATCCTCTGAATGTTTTATGTTTGAAACATTGCTTCAATAAACCAACATGTTTCAAGTCCCATTAACATCAGACCATTCTCTAATACCAAAGCCTTTTGTAACAGATGTACAAATATCACAGTGAGGTTGTATACATCCTAATGTGGAAACTGACAATATAGCAGGCAATTTAGCATGCATCTGCATGTGTATGTGTTGAAAACCATGTCAGAATGTCCTTTAAGTCCATTCAAAAACTCTTAATTAAATTTTTTGTTTTACCTTTGAAGGTATTTATTTCTGGTTTAAAATTCCTCTTATAGAATTTCCTCTTCAAATTTTCTACATCATGCAGTCTAATACCCAATTTCATTTACACCACAGATAATATTCCCTATATGAACTTATACATTATTAATTTTCAATGTAGGAAACCTTAGCATACAAGGTAAAATATGTCCATAATCGTCAGAGCTTGAGGATTGAAAAATTGATGGTTATATAACAATGTCTCGAAATGAGGAGGTTGATCACGCATGCTTGCCTGCCAATCATATTACCTGAGAAATTCGGCAAAAATCTAATCAAGCTACCTAAAACATTCCCTGAAGTATGTTTTATTTCACACTCTATGACTTTGATGATAGAATGATGCGAGACAACCAGCGAGTCTCTCATTTTCATCACATCAAATAATATTGAATTTCAATTTTTCTACTGAGTAGATTTATAACTCATAGAACTGTAGTTTTCAGGAACTGGATCAGCAAGCTATTGATTGGCTTGGAATGTTCATTACATGAGGGCACTTTGGGAATGGTAGGCTGTAGAAACTATGGCTCTCCGATGGCTGATAGAGCCTGTGAAGATATCATGAGCCACTTTATTTCTGTCGGCAGATCCGTTGGGCGTATTGTGTTCAGTTTTAGTACACATTAGTCAACAAAGGAAATGTCGATAATAAAAACAACTTGCTTTGATTGTAGATGTTTGTGTCTTTTGTAATGGTGTACCTAAAATTGATCATTCTTGTGTTAAAGAACTAGAAACCCACTTTATTTCCGTAAAACTATAGTGTTTGTTGTGTAGTTATACTGTAGTAAAAGAATGCTCATGTCTAATTTTTATCATCTTTTTTTTTTTTAAATTTAAAGATTCTAAATCAATTAACATTTTTTTGTTTGGAAAAAGAAGATAAAATGTATTATTTTTCTCGACATAACATTGGTCAGTGTTGTGATTCTATGAAGTTATGCACTTGATGTTACTTCCTGCCTTTAATGAGTCACAACTGTCTCCCCAGACACACAAATGGTGGTTATGAAACAACCTCTGGGTACAAATCTCTTTTGTTACTCTGATAACACAAATAAACATGTTTCATGGCAGATGCAATACATCCTTCATAACCTTAGACCTTTAACCAAATTTGTTGAATGTGAAAAATGATAACAGGTAATTTCATCGTAAACATCAACAATTTTCTCCACAACATCAGCACCTTTTTCTCAAATGTAGATTCCTCAAAGGATTTTAATTTGTCAGTATTACTTACATAAAAGAAAAAACTGAACCTTTTTTTTTTAATCTCCATACAGAAAAGACATTCTTTGGCAAGCCATCATTCATATTCATCACCACATGGGATTTTCTCCATACTCAACTTACCACTGTATATAAATGCGGATTTTCTTTATGAGTGTCCTTGAAGGGCGGCCCTTTGTTTGGTGGGCCCTCTATAAAGACACGCCCTTGACACTTCTCCTTGTCCATATCAGGTACACAACAGCTGTCAGGTACCATAGGGTATTCTGTAAGCAGAAAAAAAATGATATTCAAACACCAACATCAAACTTGGTATATCTAAAGTCATTAAAAGTGACAAATTTTCAAACTCACATACAATTTACATTACACTTTTATGAGTATTTTCAGCTATTTCTTTCTTGATTTTACTTTCAAACTTTTTTCAAAATGTTTGATGTATGTATTTTAATGTAAATGTCTTTGCATAGATTGCCTCTATTAACTTCTAAATATATATCACACGACAAGATACTCATATATCTGACCCATGAAAATTCCTGTCAGGAAAATCTCAAAGAAAATTTCAATATACAGAAGACCTGTATATTTTGATACTTGGCATATTTTTCAGTCAATTTGAAGAGGATTTCCACCAAACCATTAAGTCTTGAAGATGTCAGAATAAAAATTACAACCTCCTTGTAACCAATGCTAAAGAACCTGACCATTTCACTAGAGAAAGATATAAAAATTCTCAGAAAAAAAATGACTGAATGATCAGGGAAATAATTCCACCAGAAACTCTAATTTAAAGAAATCACCAACAGTTCACCATCAAGCCAAATCTATGTAGACAGACAAAAGTCAGATCCAACTATACAGAATATCACAGTGAACTACAATATTCAGATTAAGGACAAAGTCAAGAATTATTAAATGTGAAAAAAGTTTGATCTATTCTCTACAAAATAGCTTTTTTTTTCTTTTTTTTTTTTTTTTTTTAAACATTTCATTCTTTATGCTCTGAAGAACTTGCTTTCATATCATTAAAAGAAGACTGAAACAACCAGCACAATACATATGTAATAATGTGTCAGTATAATTTAGATTGAAATGCAATTATGTAAGAGCAACATGGATTTAGGGTCAACTATAAATGTCAACTGTAGCAGGGAGTCATTCAAATTCAGTTTTAGTTTAGTCTGAATTCACTGCATACATCAAGTACATATATATGTATATATCAAAACTGTCATTCCCATCATGCAGTAGTCATAGATTCGCATTCATTTTTTCATTTGCATTGAGGCCATAGTTATATGTCAGAAACAGCCATGTGATATTGTTTACAAGTTATATTTTAAAAATCAAAATGCATTGTTGATTACAAGACATGACATGAGAGATGTAATAAAAAGCATAGCATCAATTTCAATCCCATTCACCTATATCATTTTTTTCTTTTCTTCCAAAAGCTATACTAACTTCATTTCAATTTGTGATTTAGTTATGTGAATGAAAAAAAGGTAAGGTTTAAAGAAAGTTAATTTGTGCTGATTTCTAGTCAGAAGGATTTTACAGACATGCTTTCAACATTGATTAAGTGCAGTAAATGGTATTAAGTCTTAAAAAATTCACAGTTAGATCAGTACAATATCTTACTTCAAATGAAAGAACGTCAGTATTTACATCAGTATCATATCTTCCTTAACATGACAGAAAGTATTTACGGGGAAAAATGATAACATCTGATGAGTAAATATTTAGAGAAATTATGTGCCATGAGAAGTATTATTTATAAAAAGTGCTTTTAATTCTACAGAACAGAGATTTATGGTGAATATTTTATAAAATGCTACTTATACATCAGAGACAAATTATCATGTGTGTTCTAGGATTGTGTTTATTGACAATATTTAACATGACTTCTTTCACAATCTAACATACATGCCCACATACATGTACAACTGTATCAATACAACGTGCATCATGTATTTCTACTCCTAGTTAGAATCAGTAACAAAAAATGTACACATGTAGGTAACCATCATTAATTGAGTCCAAATTTACTAAATACTTGAACAATGTAACAATATTCCCCTACCCCTAAAATTCTTTTAAAGCAAGAGTTTTTCATATACACCTAATGAGTTACTGACTTAATCCAATAACAATCTCGTAATATGCCTGTATATTTCCAGCACAGAATAGTAACTATCACAGAAATAGAAATAATCACTTATTTTAGATTTGATTTACAAAAGTACTCAATCATTTCATTTCATAATTTTATATTCTGTTTCCAGGTGCAATATTCTTTTTTCTTTCTTATTTTGTAACTACTAAGAACATTTGGATAGTTAAGACACCTTGAAGACAAGTAATTGCATAAACTATGAGTGTTTCAGTTATTAGCAATGGTTGCATGCAATATTACGGGAGGTGATACTCTACATTACATAACAGGGTACTTACTATTCTGAAAATAGGGAATCCCGTCTTAAAGAAGCACAGGAAACAAGACGAGAAATGTACAATACAGTTTTGGGATGACGTTGAATAAAAAAATTCTTTCTACTCATGGGAAACTTGTCTATACTGAACCTTTCCAGATTAGACAGGTTTCGGCATTACACAGGTCTAATTCATGAAGAAATGAATATAGAATAACCAAAGCTAAAAATCTGGTTTATTCAGGTTTATAGTCTGACCTAATTTGAATATCCTGTCCATTCAATGTCCTTAATTTCTATTACAAATAAATTACATAACGTCAAAACAGTTTTTTGTTTAGACTTGTCAAAACACCATTTGCTCTTGTCTACCACATCACCACTGATGCCACTTCACAGAAATATGACTTGTCAAACAAGACATCATCAACTTTAGGTGTGTTTTTTATAAACGCTGAAATTGTCTTTCTATAAATGAACTGTCTGAGTTAACATGTATATCAATTAAGAGTTTTGCTACAATACGAGCTATGTTTGAATTGCCTGCATTGTCACAAACACACTTTGTATGGTATCTAAGGTAAGTACATTAACAAAATGCTTATATTGCTAATCTAATTTAATCTTTTTAACTCTGTTCTCACAAACTGGCATGTAATACCATAATTACAACATTGACTCCATCATGTAGAATATTTGTTTCCCGATAATAAACATGGTTACCTCCCTTGTTTTTATGTAAACCGAAACCAGAATTGTTATAAGCTTATAAATATAATTTTGAGATAGAAATAAATATTAATCAGTATATATATATGAACAGACAATATTTGTAATTAATATTTATACAGGTACATGTTAATAGAACCAAAACCTGGTGAACATGTACACAGTTCGTAAACAACAATGGTAAGTAAAACATTGAACACAAACCGGTGTTTTTGTTATTAAATTTCTAATATTAAGATCAAAATACATCTATAACTAAGCTTAATATTGTTGAAACAAATTTTCATCACAATGCAGCAAAAATATCTTGATTTAAAACAATAAATCTGAACATGAGAGAAATGATTCCTTCACCTTCCTTCTATCCCTAACACCACTCAACTACTCCAATTCCAGTGTTCCTGACTGTATTTAATCAATCATAAGACAAGAAACAACAGTTTCTTAATCAATGACATTTCAAAATCATACAAAATATCTAGTTACTTTTTTCTGTTTTTTTTTTTAATTTTTCTTTTGATTCTGTCTATATACTTTTATACTTTCACACAATTTCCTTGACTCTCTGCTGTATAACTCTGGAAAAAGGTAAAAATCAAGCCAAGACATTTATAAAGAATGTCTTTTTCTCAAATTTCTTTTCTTGACAATGGCCTAAACATTCCATCAAGCTGATGATCCTAATAACTTCCAATAAACATTCTTATATATATATATATATATAAAGTGACAGATAGCAATTAACTCAGAACAGCAAAAATAAACTTCAACATGTGTAAGGGGTTATTATACTCTTGTCTTGTCCTGTTCCATCAAAGCCTCTCACTGTCAAAAAAACCCACAAGCATTACAGCTGAACTGCCAGTGTGTTCTGTGCACCATTTAAAATTCACTGCCTCACAAACAGAACTCGTTAATAGTCCATGTAGAATGCTCTTGGCCAAATATCTCTCTAGGGTTAGGGTTCGTTCAAAACATAATAGTTACAACTATTCTAAAACATGCTGTATTTCTTTCTCTCAGCATTTTTTTTTCTCTGCTGCAGTATTTGAAGCCTGCAGCAGCTACAACAACAGATTTCCAAGTCTTGATCATCTGGATGTTTGAATCGCTATTTAACGGCGCTGTTCGGATACTTTGGACCACAACTTGGCCGACTCTGACTAGTTAAAACCTGCCTTACTCGATCTACAGCACACGTAGGGGTTGGTAATGACATATTAAAAGAATGAAACATCGGCACACTCAACTTCAAAATCAGCTTATTGCCTTTCCTCAATTTAAAAGCTGAAGCCATCATGTTTCAAAGTAGTCTAATTTTTGGCCACAAACTTCAATTCCAAACAAAAACTTGCAATTCTAAATGTCATTGGCGTAAGTCCCATTTTAAATACCACCTGAACTTCTCCTAATAGTAATTAATTGTAGATTTATCTATGTACTATAAGCAAGAGTTGGAGACTGAGGCACAGATTTGGTGTAAGATACATACTATCACGTGAAGGTCTCCGAGCCCACCAGTCGCTGTGCTGTTTGTATATAGCCCAGGAAAAGTCACTACTGTGATTGCCATAGGCACCACAACACTTCAACTGAAACGAAAGACATAAATTATTATTCATTAATCTAACAGTGTGTGATGTATCTGAATAGTAAATGTTATCAGGTGTGCAATGGTATGAAATATTTTCAACAAGTATGGTAGATGTCTTAAAGTATGTGATGGTGTTAAATGTTTTCAATATATGGTAGATGTCATCATATGTCTTAGGATCTAAAAGAGAGTTTCAAAATAAAACTACAGAACAGGTATATTGGTAAGAAATACAAAATAAACAGACTTATATTGAGTATCCTTAAACCTCCTACAAAAATATATACATAATTTAGCTGTTCAAATGATGCAGAACAAATAGTAAAAATAAACAAGGCCAGTAACTCTTACAACAATCATGGATAAATATTACAGTAAATTTACTGCAATGCATGACCTTGGCCTTCTAAATATTGGCAATGACCTACTTTTCTCTGTATTGAATCCCATGCATCAGTGACCAATCTATTGTGTGTGTTGGATCGTACTTCATATCCATATTGCTTTTCAATGGTAATCACCAGCTTTTCCTTAAAATCACTTGTCATCTAAGAAAAAAAATCAAGGAACATGTATTATTAAGTTATATCCAAAACAAAACATCTTTTGTAAATTACAATTTTTGATTTAAATGAACCTATTTTTTCTTTTTCTATTTATGATTGACCGATATTCAATACATTATAATACCTTAGCCTGACAGCAATTTAAGAGAATGTAGGCCTAAGTGTTTCAAGGATTTATCAGCCCAAATAAATACATTGATAGAAAATTCATATCAGAAAAAAAGGTTCTTCATTTAAGGATATACACTAATATACTAACAGCCTCTCCCTTTCCCTTCAAACATGTGTTATACTTTCTGTTCAACTGAGTATTCTTTCAGAATTTCAGATACCATAACCATAAAACCATATCACAATTTCCTCCAACAGTTTCTTGAATGTCTTCCTAATCTATCATTTCCCAAAGTTCCATTCATAAAGACAACAAAAACAAAAACAAAAACTTAAAAGAAAAAGTTTAATGTTAGAAGATTTTTGATCAGGAGATACATATACGTCACTTACAGAAAAGTAACACATATCCTTAACTATTTTATTTTTTCATATGAAATGATTCATTAACACTTCATCATCAAGCCTCCTGATGAAAACTCTATCACTAAATGCTGTAACACAATTATATTCACAGCGCTAATTAGGGATTGACTAATTGATGGTTGTTTCTTGTGAAAGGATGTTAGTGTAAATATTTGTTAAGTACACCTTGAAGTTGTCTGTACATGTACTTACATTTTCCCTGAACATAAAGGCCAATACACCTCCTACTATGAGAGCCATGAAGACAAGAACCAACACCACACCATACTGCAAAAAAACAAAAACACACAATTACATATTTATCAGTCTATCTAATTACACACATTCACATATTTATAATTGTTAGTCAGTACATCCCACACAAAAACTTTTCTGACACATTTCACAAAGATAATGATTATAACCACTTCTGTAGATACAAAGAAAACAAGACTTGTTGGTTAATCAGTCTCTGCTACTCCTTAACACTTTTCCTCATTACGTTTTTATTTTCGTCTACATAAAACAGTGCTGCAATAGCTCTGTTTGTTAGAGTGTTGGTCTATGTAAACTCAAGTGAAGATATGAAGTGCCATGTTAAAGAAATTAATTTCCTAAGTATTATCATACAGACTTCCGTCAATTCATGATTTGAAAAGCCAGACAAATCTAAAATCTAACATGTAGTAATTTCATGTAAAAACAAGAAGAAAAAAATAAAATAAAATCATTTGATTTAGTTACGTAACAGAGATAATTGAAAACCAAATTTTTATTTTAACAGCATTTGAAAACCTTTTAAAATAATTAAAATTTTTCAATGAAATGATTTCAATTAATTAAACATTATTTCATAATTGTTTAATGTTTTTTGTTGGATCAATATTAAAACAACAGGTAGTACCCTTCTCTGGAACTTTTCCATAAGGTATATCTATGGTTTTGCAAGCAGAGAGAGTGAATACATTTACGTCATATCCTAATCCAATATCATTGTTTACATTCATAAACAAATATTTGTTGTGTGGAAACACCAGACTGGTTGTTTCAGAATTTTTGTTGACTTAAACTGCTTTCTATATGAGTCAGGCTATTGATAAATTTTAATATTACAAAATTATCTTAAAAACTAGAAAAAAGTTCAATATAATCGAAAATGTATTAATCGTAATAATTAAGGGAAAAAGGATTATATTTAGAAATCGCACCAAACATCTGTCGATGTAAACCAGTTAAAAGATTGAAGAAATTTCAACAAAAGTTAGCTTTGGTGCATTACATTGATGATTTACCCTCTGACATTTTACACTGAGAATTTCTCCTGCAACACTTTTCACTGAGAATTTCCCATCCAACACTTTTCACTGACAATTTTCCATCCAACTCTTTACACTGACAATTTCCCATCCAACTCTTTACACTGACAATTTCCCATCCAACTCTTTACACTGACAATTTCCCATCCAACTCTTTACAATGACAATTTCCCATCCAACTCTTTACAATGACAATTTCCCATCTTACTCTATCCACTGGTAATTACTCCTCCAACTCTTTTCACTGACAATTTCCTATCTTACTCTATCCACTGGTAATTACTCCTCCAACTATTCATACTGACAATTTCCCCTTAAACTCTTTACACTGACAATTTCCTCTGCAACTCTTTACACTGACAATTTCCCCTCCAGCTTTTTACACTGACAATTTCTCCTCAAACTCTTTACACTGACAATTTCCTATCTTACTCTATCCACTGGTAATTACTCCTCCAACTATTCATACTGACAATTTCCCCTTAAACTCTTTACACTGACAATTTCCCCTGCAACTCTTTACACTGACAATTTCCCCTCCAGCTTTTTACACTGACAATTTCTCCTCAAACTCTTTACACTGACAATTTCCCATCTTACTCTATCCACTGGTAATTACCTCTCCAACTCTTCACACTGACAATTTCCCATCTAACTCACAAAACTGTTAAATACTTTTGAACAATTGAAAATTTTGGGAAAAAGTCCTATATCAATTTTCCCTTTATTTACTGGTTTATTTGATGAAATCAGTGAATCAACACTTCAAATTTAATGCCAGACATTTTTTGATGATTTCCATTATATTTCCACACTAGTAATGCTGTCTTGTTAAATATTTGCCATGAAGTTACAATATTCATTAATTCTTCTGAGAACTGTTTCATAAGCTACAAAATAAGTAAAATCTATTTTAGGGAATATATCTCAGATACACATCCACATACTGATTGTTTTTCTGTTTCTATGTCGTCCTGATTAGTATTATTCATGAAATATTCTATCCATGCATCGAGATGTCCCATATCAGAATCACCCTCAGTCTGATTACAAGATATTAGGTCAACCCCGAGGTGAATGGTCCCTGCCTTAGGCAATTAGAGTATGCATACTTGTCCAGTGTTAGACTAAAGAGGAATTTCCATCACATATTCAAAGTAATTTGTTTTTGTGCCATATTTGGCTGATTTCTGTGATGATACTTTGATACAGGACGGAGACAATCTTACATATTAGGCAATTTGTGATAGCTTTAAATCATCTTTTGAACAAAACACTAAGACAGTTTTCCACAGAATTTGGAAAGAAAGAACCTTATTTCCTTATTAAATCAATATCAATCCCTGTTACAGAGCAGCCCGATGACAAAGGCACGATGTTTTCAGTAATGATATACAATGCTATATCCACAAATGAAATGAAATGCTTGTAACGACAATCACGCGAGAGCCGTTTCTATCCCGACGACATTGACCGCAAGCCAGATACACAGAATCTGTAACTAACAATACAAAATACACCACGATAGCCATTCTCGATTGCAAAATATTGATCACAATGTTTTACCTTAATACAATATCTAAAATGAATGGATGATAAAGTAATTATGCCAAGCAGAATCTGACATGTCCATGTGAATGGTACTTGACATGTCGTCGCAAATTGACAAATACCAGACTGAGATTTTCTGATGGATGCACAGCTTATGTACTGTTATTTGATACTGGATGTTATGTTATTAAAAGTCTCGGAAAAGAAAAATTGTGATACTTAAGTTTGATGTTAAGCAAAAAAGAAAAAGGACAACTTTAAGAGCATCGCATTGCTTGGCTATCATGTGACAAATGTGGTATGTAGCCATTGGCAACGATAGTCGGCGATCACTCAAGTCTATGATGATATCTTCTATTAATACACCTGAGTGAACCAGATCAGATGTTAACGTATCAATTTTGCATCGCATATATCCTTCAAACAGGAAAAATCAAATGAAATATTAATTCAGAATTCTTAATGATAACAGAATCACCTGCTGCTTAAAGTTCATATAGAATTTATATGAAAACACATAAACCCAGATTTGATACAAAAACATACATTTTCAAATCAAGTGAAGAAAAGCAAATATGATGTCATTGTCACCATAGTAACCTCTAAATGAGGAAACACAAGATGCCACTGCTAGGTAGAATAATTAGAAATGACAAACACCACTGGGAACCGATGAGAGATTTAAATGTCTGAGTAAGATATCGTAAACATAAAGACAATGAAAGGGATCAGAAATATATAAGAAATACTCTTCATGAAAAATAAAAAATTGTAAAGTGAATTTAGATAATATCTATACTGTAAAGGACACAGCACATTCACATGAATTGAAAGTGGATAACTGTGTATTGCATTTATAAATTTCTTTCAGAACATATTTTATAAATTTTTCGGACAATGGTCAATCCTTCAAATGTGAAATATCTAAACACTTTGGTCAAGATTTTCCAAATTGTACAATAACAGTCAACAGTTGAATCAAATAAAAGTACAAATTTTATACTAACAGCTGACCATTAAAGGTACTTGTGTATACAACAGACACTTAATCTCTACAAAATTCAATTTGCTGCTTTATTGGATCTGCCCATTCAAATGTGCCATATGGTAGCCCACGAAATGTATATATCTTAAAGGAAAATATTGGTAGAAATGCTTAGATAAACACCTATCAGACAATCATGAATGTAAATAAAAGTTTAGTTGAAATTGATTTAATCCTCAATATTTATTTAAGAGGTGTAAAATTTAAATGTTATTCCTTAAGACCTTAATCATTAATTCTGATTTTCCACATAATCCACTTGTACTACTAATAACATCAATGCCTTTGAAGTGTTACCCACCATTCCATACACAAAATGTTTCAATTGTTATATAAATCTGTAACAAACTACCATTTTTATCAGGCAATAAGCCAAAGCATGCATAGCAAGAAGTCCAAACCAGATACATTTTATATATTGAGGTTCAGTAAAATTATAAACAAGTGTTACTTCACGATGTTATATATTAAACCCACCCTCTGACTTTAAGTGACAGTGGATGTGTATTAGTCCCATGTTTTATTGCAGTATAATGATCCTAACTTAACAATTTATAACATTGACTCAGCTCACTCTGGTAATGTGTAAAAATACTGTCATGTTTTAAAACATATAACTTTAATAAATACATTGATATATATATGTGTGTCTTGAAGTTAATTATATATCTGTACATTGTCATTCAAAGGAAAATGGGACTTGAATTGAGACTTTTCAAAAAAATTATATACATTGTATATTGCATTTTAAGTTTTCCCCTTATAAGGCCTCTTTAATGCAGCTTTATTATCCTAATATTAACAAACTTTGAATAATACCTCTAGGGTAATGCTCATTGAAAACAATGAAGCACATGACTTCCTGTATCAGGCTTTTTGTCTAGGTTATAGATAATTTCTACATCAATCATATTTCTATAGTAATTTCAATTGAAAAAAAAACATTATTGCTGGATTCAAATTGATCAACCTCAGATGATATACATCAAAATAATTGAATTTGATAAAACATCTGTTAGAAAAATTGAATTTAAAAATTACATAATGCACATTATTGACTGATGAAATTTGATAAAAACTTTTCACTAAGACTTGAAGTCAAGAGTAATGTTAATTTATGAGACATTTACGAGATTTTATTTTTTTCAAAATGCAATTTTTGAGAAATTTATAAGCACGTATTCAAAAATCTGCTGACAAATCCTTATTCTTGTCAAAGTTTATTATTTGGTCAACCATAATTGAGGAGATCTGCAAAAATGTGAAGAAAAAAGTTTACACAAGGATGAATTTGTTTCAAAGAAAAAGATAGATTTTTATAAATTTCCAAAATTTGGATTCTATATGACTTAAATTGTCTGAGAGGCTCTAATCGAACTCGATTCTGCCTGTCACTTACTCCCAAAATCAGCTTGTCACATATAGTCTCTAACCCATTCAGCGGACAGAGTGAGATTAACCAGAGCCGATCAATTTAATACCACATTACGAAATTACTTTTTCATCCGCAAGTATTCTACACAGCCTAATAAGTATCCGTCAGTGGACATAGACTTAATTAGCATCAGACGGTCAGCATACAAGGACAGAAATTTGTCTCTCTAAATTATGGTAAAGGCCCACAATATATGACATCGTTAAAACCTTTGTTTGTTTGGGGTTTTTTTTGTGACTGATCAAATAAAGAATTCTACTATCTTTTTGTAAAACTGTGACCTTATACCAGCATAATGAAAAAATATTTCAAATCATTTAATGTCTATGAACATTGATTGAAGATAAATGTTGAAAAAAATATTCATAAAAAAGAAGATGATCGAACCAAACTTGTTATTTTCACCATCAGAACATAAGAACATTTATGGTATCAGAAGAATTTCCTTTTTGTCTCCTGAGGTTTGTTGATTACTTCACATATTCATGCATTAGAATTCGATGACCAGGAGTCAGTTCCTCAGCTGAATTGCCTATTAATACTGATTATCAAAGAATACCAGCAATTCATGACCATTACTAGATATTTCTGGAGTCAATATTACTGTACTTAATCCTGTGGGGCCCCATAAAGAAATCCCTTTTCCTGTTTCAATAGGCATTTCTACAGATTTACAACTGTAATGACATTTGTGAGCTGACTACATTACAATGTTTATTTACCTACACCACTCATTCTGGTGAAAAGGAGGAAGAGGAGGAAAAGAAGGAGGAGGAGGAAAAGAAGGAGGAGGAGGAGAAGAAGGAGGAGGAAGAGGAAAAGAAGGAGAGGAGGAGGAGAGGAGGAGGAGGAGGAAAAGAAGGAGAGGAGGAGGAGGAAAAGAAGGAGGAGGAGGAGAAGAAGGAGGAGGAAGAGGAAAAGAAGGAGAGGAGGAGGAGAGGAGGAGGAGGAGGAAAAGAAGGAGAGGAGGAGGAGGAAAAGAAGGAGGAGGAGGAGGAGGAGGAAAAGAAGGAGGAGGAGGAGAAGAAGGAGGAGGAAGAGGAAAAGAAGGAGAGGAGGAGGAGGAGGAAAAGATGGAGAGGAGGAGGAGGAAAAGAAGGAGGAGGAGGAGGAGGAGGAGGAGGAGGAGGAGGAGGAGGAGGAGGAGGAAAAGAAGGAGGAGGAGGAGGAGGAGAGACATTTTTTTCCTGTTCAGCAAAGATTGTTTATTCACAAGCATGACCAGAGAGATTTACAGAAACAAACTAGTATTTATTTTGTGCTGGTATTTTCCAGCTTCAGCCGAAAAACCTTTCTTGCAACATTTTAGATAAAAACATTTCATACTAGATTTCATATAAAATTACTTTGTATTTGGTTTTGATTTCTGACAATACATGTACTGAAATTGTACACAGGAGTTCTGTTAATGTTAATGAAAACTCTTACCATTTATTTTAATAATGTTTGGTAGTGTAAAAATTTTAACCTCATCAATACTGGTATGTTGGCGTTCAGAAGAAATAACAATGAATATTATTACAAACACATTACATATAACATCAAACAGACATGACTCTAACTTTTTAATGTATAAGCCTTCTGGGCTTATTGCAAGGTGAATCGTGTTATGAGATAAATAATCAACCTGGTTTAATTTCATTCTGTATTTCAGGACCTGAAGACAAAACAGAATGCAGTTTAATGCATCAAACTTGAAACGGTTTCAAGGCAATTGTATATAAACTCACAGGTTTTACCTGCGATGGGCCTCTGGGTCTGTAGGTTAAGACAACAGAAGAAGTACATGGTTTCATTCTTTAAGTTAAAAGTGCAAGTATATGGATATGTTGAAGGCGAACTGTCTTAGAACACAACGCTCAATCATATGATCAATTGCTTCTATACTGATTAAACTTATCTTTGATCATTGAAACTTGTGTCTTCTAGCATTCACTTCATATTCTCAATTATCTCATTTATACAATTAATTTTATTTTTAAACTTTAAAGCAAATCACCATTTAAACCTACACAATAAAATTTACCTATCCTTGCATGCTAATTAGTTTTCAACAGATTTTTTAGTGAAGATCACTCCTAGAAAAGACCATTGTCTAATTAAAAATTGAAACTCTTTTGTAAAGGAGGTGCAATAATGAGGTAACACATATCCTTAACAGTCATAGGTACTTTGAGTTTACAAAAGTTCTAACAATCCTGAAAGTACAGATCCTATAAGGTCAGGTGGTTGTTAGATGTGACTGTTCTAGTGCCAGAAACCGGCTCGTCAGTCTCGATTACAAGACCTGACAGGATGCATCGTCTTAATCAGGGTTTATGAATCATTTCCTAGTGAACAGCTACTAATTTCTACTCCAAACAAAACAGCAGGTGGATGGAGGCAATGCTCCCAAACGTTGTTGTCACTCTGAGAGTATCACTTACTACAATACATCACAGGGTCTGCATACCTATATCATTCTCACAGTAAACTAGTATAATGTGAGAGTCCCTACTGGTGCAGGCTCCAGCTGGTCTTTTGGATACTACATACCAACAATAATCACTCATACCAGTGTTGTCTACCCCACATACCTACAAGTTTCTGAGTTGATCAATCTGGTAGATGTTTTTTTTCCTGCTACACAACAAATGGCCAAGGTCTCAACATACTGATGTACACATCATTCTGTTGCCATTCAATACACTAAGAATTACACTGTATGTCCGACAAATGGTCTACCACACTTTGTAGACTAAAGAGGAAGTACAAGTTTTCTATCCTGGTCATGAAGGCAGACGTTTTTATTATGATTTTTGTCATTATTTAAATATATCACCTTTATTTAACTAATCATAAAGGATAACAGAATGATAACATTGGAATTCCGAATCTTAAGTCACAGATTGGAATTCTTGCAAGACAATCAAATAACAATTTATCTTTTTAGTCTACTAATTGCTGTTCAGTAGAATCATAAAACATGGTTATATCATTGTCCTGTAATATGCTAGCTCGCTAACTTTAGGTCAAAAAAATATAATGGTCCTCTGGGCTCGTGGTTCTGTAATAAGCCCAGCCTCGGTCTGTGAGTCACAAGTAATGTGTTAGCCTCCTTGGCTACTTGCAAGATATACACTGCTGCATCCTAAACTAGAAACTTTTGAATATCGAAGTCAATTTTCTTTAAGTAAAAAAAAACTGACTTTATCTTCACCAAATAAAACTTTTTGTAAACTAACCTCTCTTCTGTATTTACCCAATATCTAGTCCATACAGAAGGCAATCTATACATTCTATCATGATTTGAAAAACATTGATAGTGTTTAACCTTTTTTCTTTTAAATTTAACTGTTCCAATCTCAAAGCTATAGAAATGGTTCTCTTTTTCAGATCAAAAACCTTAATATGTCTTTCTAGTCAAACAAAAAAATTGATTAAAAAATTCTCTATAAAAGATTATCTTTACCAACATTGACTTCCCTGATATATTTACTCTCTACAGCTTTCAGCTGTGTCCGAATAAACACAACTATTGATTATTCAAAGATCGACAAAAAAGGAATTACGTGGGATAACAAACGACTGATATCATCCTAGCCATCTGACAAACAGTGATTATAATGTTATGCCCAGTTTTACGATTATTTCATGTGCAGCGGTCCAGATTAGAGTAAAAACCACGATTCAGAATATTCCTTGATGACACTGGTGATAAAGCAGCCAATCAGATAAGGGCTTTCTGTGTATAGTATGCAAGTTTTAGCTTTTCCAATTTACCGAAAAAGCAAGGACCGCAAATTGTATCAGAATTAAGTTCCATTAAACTTTAAGGGATGATCGATATGCAATATTCTTGAAATAATGATTTATAGTTCTACTGACAATATTCTACAAGGAAACAGAATATATCTTTGATTTTATCAGTGATTCTATAGTTTGTTTCAAAATGCTATAACAATTTTTACAGCTAGATTGATTACATTTATGGTTTTTTCTGTATTCGATCTTTAAAAGCATTTTAGATCTCTCATAGTGATACAGCTAAGTTGATAATATTTATATATATATTTCAAATACAGAAACATTTACATTTCCAAAATGAAAAATAAATAACACAAAAATGAAGACAAAACTGCGACACACATATCTTTTGATACATATCTGACGTATATTCTGCCAAAAATCAATTTTGTTTTCTGCCCGAGGATTTTAACATGTCTTTTCTACGAATGATTTTGGTTGATATCACCAGCATCACAGAAACAGGATATTCCTCAAGGTCATAAAATGTGCACGGAACCCAAGTACTTTCTCCACAGGAAGTAAAATAGACATCTGCCTTGTACTGTTTTTAAGTTGATTTTAAAGTAATAATTTCACTGGGGAGTGAGGTTGTGTTGGATTTACATTATAAAATAACTCTATAAAATTTTTGAGAACAGCATTTTTAAAATTTTCACTTACAAATCCGAGTATACAGCGATCCTCCCTCATTGTTCCACAGCAACCACAGAAAGCCAATAGTGCGATTAATCCTCCTCCTGCCAGAATTAAGTATGTCCCAATCTCAAATAGGTTTGAATCTATCACCACAGAAACTTCACGGGCACTAAAGTCTGTCACCAGGAGCCAGATCCCCACTGCTAGGGCACCGACGCCCATAATCTACAGGTAAAATAGAGTGTTTAATCAAAAAAATGTAATATTAATATGACAGCAATGTCTGATTATTTGAGCCTATATTTGTGTCAGTTAAACGACTTAGGTAAAATATGAAGAAAAAGTTCACTTCCTCAAAACAAGTAGTTTATAATAATATAATTATAAAGTGAATTTCACTTGAAGTGAATGCCACTTTTATCAATATTTTGTGTAGACATTACACATCTTGTGTTATCTCCCTTTAAATCAAGAGCTTAAACAGTGATAAAGAATAAAACAATGGTTTCATATTTCAATAGTTAATAATTCTCAATAACCTTTTGATAACCTTTGTATTCACTTTCTAAAAATGATATTTCACAGATTTATCAGCATGGAACTCTCTTGTGAAGAAGATAAATATCTTATTAAGCTATCATAACCCTTTAACAGATCTTTTCAATTCTGATATATACTCTACAGAGATATAGGATTCAATATGATTTAACTGGCATCAACTTTTGGTAAATTTCCCAATGAAGGTAGTGCCTAGATATGAACAGCTGAACACCACTAAAATAAAAATATTTTGCAGTATACTGTAAATTAGGATATTTTAGTTGTGGTTATATTTTGGTTTATTTGGGGCCTGGCACCAAACTTTAACACCAATTTAAAATGCTAAATATTTTAGACATGTCGTTTTCGAGCTCGATTATTGGATAATGCAGTTCCATCTTTCAGACTGCTGATCTAAGTTCACTATTATCATATAGCTTGGCAAATACACTAAAATTTGACAAAGTATTGATAGAAAGGCCAAATTTAGACATACCGAAACAAAACCATCCTGTTTTTGTTAAAAACTTTCTACGCCAAAATATCCCAATTTACAGTATCCAATATAAATATATAATATCATATTTGTAATATATAAATATTTATTGTAATGATGAACAGATGTCTGACGATTATGAAATACTTTATAGCCTCTGGAGATTTTTCAGAGTGAAATGATAAATTTCATCTGTAGTGTGTTTACAGCATGGAAATAATTAAAAACTAAATGCACACAAAACTGGCACAGCACAAATGGCTGTCAGTTCTGGTGCAAATCTTCCCATGCTCAAAGTATAAAATGAGCATGTAATGTCTAAATATTTAGCTGTTAAAGACATGAATAGATTCACCAATGTATGACTTGATCTGTATCTAAGTACAGTTATTTTGATTTCAGTGAAAACTAATATTCATCAGTCTTATAATAAAATCTTTTTAACTCTTGATAAACATTTACTCTTAAAATACTCTGATTTTTTCCTCAAAGCTGTTTTCTGCAATGTCGAGAATTTATACACTAAGTCAAGTTAAACACAAGGAAAACCTGTACCAAGTTATATTGCATCAACTCCCAACAGAGTTAATCAACAGAAAAAATTACGCCTATACGTAATGTTCTATTTTCAGCATTAGTTACATTCTCACTGAAAATCAAATAAAACATCGGCACTGACAACAACAACAAAACTACCGTTATTTTTACACCGATTTTGAACTCTAAACAGTGCAAAAACTTTCATGTTTTTCCTGTGGTTTTGCACAAACCTTGTTAAGTAACCATAGAACAGCAATGAAAGAATTTACTTTAAGAAACTTGATACCACAAATATTTGTTTACCAGACAGTGAACTGCTATATATGTATTGTATATTACAATGTCTTTCCTGAAAAGATCAACTACAAATAATGCACAAAGTAATAGACACTGGTAGGTAGATTTTTCTGATGCCGTGTCTGTTTTGATTATTCAGATTGACATGTAAAATTCAAAATTTCCAGAACCTTTAGCAAATTCAGGCCAAGAATAGATACAAAAACCACTTTACAACCTTTGTTATCTGAAATCTGAATATTGAGATCTGCAATATTTCTGATCCAAATATACTTCTTACACCAAAGAAGCGAGCATAAAATAAAGTTTCTGAATAATGACAAAAGTAGAACATCTAAGAAGTGCAATAAGCAACTTTTTTTTTTGGTGCCAGTCTTTTTCAAATATTTCACAAAGTTCTCATTTTGTTTCAGGTAATACAGTGTAAGTACAATAATTACATCAGAAAGTCTTCACACCAAATCACCCATTGTTCTTATCAATAAATCATATCTATATATCAATGTCACTGGAGAAATTTAATGTACTCCATAAAGTCATTAACTTTTTACATTTCCGTTCATAATTATTGTATCTATCCTTAATAAACACATGCCTGCTCATAAATCTGCCAACGTCTATTGCAGTTTAGTAAAATTTATGAAAAAATCCTACATTTTATATATTGAACCTCTGAGCTTATTGTTCTGCAATAAGCCTATCTGTCTGACTTTGAGTCAAAGGTTCAAAAGAAGGTTTATTGAGGGAAAGGTCAGTCTTATCGAGCGGTCAGCACAGAAGAGATTCGGTGGAACTAAGGAGTGATCAGTGTTCAGGACAAGTTAACTTGGTATTCACATTAAAATCTTTTTCTCCAATGCTAATTTTGTATTGAATTATACATTTTTCAACATATCTAAAATTGAAATTATCATTCATCTCATCCTGTTTTCAGTAATTCTGGGCTCTGATCACTGAATGACTAATTCCAGACTTACAAGAATGACAATATTGTAGCAGTGGAGAGCATTTCTAAGGCAGTGGAAGCAAACGTCTGCATCAGCATCCTGTCTCCGTTGTGTGCGGATCCGATGGTCGCTATGGTGTCTCAGGTAACCATCGTCAACGTGATTTTCCATGGAATGCTGCCGCCGGCCTCGTAGTGGCTAAAATTAGATAAATAAATCATACCATCAGTATTTCATCATTAAATGGCACCTTCACTATTGTGTTAGAAACAGAAACCTTCTGATAAAATGAAAAATGAACTGTTTATTACATAGAGAAGATTTCTCTCTGTCAATTTTAACTTGGATAATCAATCTTCAGATGAACTGACTATTAACACTGTAGATTGTTGTATGGTCAATCCTTTCCACCTTGTTGATAGCAGAGAGAGAATAATGGTTAATTAGAAAGATTTACAATATTGTAATACAAGTAATATCATGATAGTACAGTAATACAGCAAGATGCAAGCGAGACAAAATATCCACATATATTCTAGTTAAAATAGAACTCTAATATATTTGTAACAATACTTCAGTCAGCTGATTGTGAAGTTCAATACAACATAAAAATCAATATTGGAAAACATGCATATCTGATGTTAAAAAACCTGTTTGCGATGAAAATGATGATATAATTACGAACTAGCTGTGATGTTGTTTTTTTTTTTTGTGAAAATGTTAATGTAATAAAATCTGTTTAAGAGATACATTTCAAACTCATATTCATTTTAATCTGTTGTAATCAAAATAAGTGTTGTTTTCAAATCATTGATAATAAAAACACAGGGGCTTGGTGAGAGTTCCCAATCCTTGGTGTATATGAATTATAGTCACTATATTGACCATGGGTTTGGAATTCATGCCAAGTCCCTGTGGTTAATCTCAGTAAATGTAATACTCCATTCCAGTGTATTTTACCCCAAATCAGAGTGTTTCTCTCATTCCCAAGGAAATATTCTCACTTCCTGGCATTGTTAATCATTTCAATAGTGAAATGGGAAGAAATCTTAAATATTCTTTGATTAAAATCACACTTTTTTCAGGTCATTTCTGAACTCTGAAAGTTACACTATTGTGACGAAATCTAATGTCTCCATCATAACATGTAATCCTAATAAAATTGAATGACAGAATTTCATCATTTTTTTTAAGATGTCATAAGAGGTAAAAAGTGTAATACTGTAAAGAGAATTATTTCGGTCCAATCATTAATTTTAGCACTATATCAATTTTGAAAAAATTGATGCAATAATAAATTTTCGAATTCACAATGATAACAATATATATTTACTAAAATTGCAATCAACGCAGCCATACTTTAGTGCAGTATTCTAAGTGGAAAAGCACTAAATACATTACTACTAGAATATGTACATTTACAGTATATAACATGTCTGATATTGGAGATTATCATTATAGTGATGTGATAACATCCTATTTACAGATTATCAAAGATAAAAATGTACAACCTGACAACTGGGGACAGGTTAATATCTACAATCATGTTGGTACAACACAGAAGTTAAGCCTGTCAAAATATACTGAGTAATTATATAATACAGTGTATGTTGTATGGTGAAATTAAGTCGCAGAATCACCCATACAGACACACACGTTTAGTTGTTTAGTCAGTACAACATCAACCCAGTACAAACACACAAAATACTCATACCCAGCTGTGATGCTTGAGTCGAATTTCATCCTGGAAAGTATGATTTTTCATTGATCACCGAAGCAAGGTATTATATCCGTAATGATTTCATACAGATCCTGATATTCGGAATAAAACTGTTTTTTGATAGATCCTTAGAAGAGACAGACCCGATGATGCAGACATTTTGCCTGTAGTATAACTGAGAGACAGAGGCCCCTAGTCACGAGCCATAATTACCCCTCCTCATCCTTGTCTACCTAAGAAGACACAATTAGTTTCATCTGGGGTTACCAGTACTCCAGATCACAAGGGGCATCATAGCCAGCACCCCACTCACAATATATATAAATGCCAAGGAATTCAGAGGTCTGGATTTTCTTCTCTGTGTAAAACGTTATATGAACAGTTAGCGATAGTTTATAAAGGTACTACCTATATCTGATTACTCTGGTATACATAGAGATGTAAATATAAACAGAGCATGGAGAAGAAAAGATCAGAATGTCATCCCCAGCAACTGTTAAGTATGAGAATGGGCGAGGTGAAATGTTACATATGGTTACCATAGCGATGCATTGATGCTGAAGCTGGAAACAGCTACATGTATATTATACACCTGTAATTTCATTGGTACAGGAATAAAGGAATTCTATAAACCATTTAAATTAGCCATCGTCAATTCATCTTCAATATAAAACCTTGCATGCATTTTTTTTTTATGTTTGTAATGCTCTTCCTTCTGGGGGAGCTGTTCTCATTAAAATCTGCCAACATTACCTCAAACAGAGCACACACAAAAGCTGGGAACAAAAAATTCATTGTAAGAAGCGAGACGTTGATTAAATCATTAAACAGAAAAACAATGAGGAAGAAAAACATTTAATTAAAAACACTGGAATATTTCCAGAAGGTATGGTATATTTCATGGTTACGTTTCATAGCATCTTATTAGAAGCAAGGTTTATATATAGAGAATATATATTTCGTATGATTCTACAAGCATGTGGTTTGTGTTAGAGGAATCCTAATATAAAACAGATTACACAGACCTATACATGCGATTGTACTTGTTATAACCATCCATGTTTCTGTCTGTTGATGCCTATATTATACTGGCAGCCTATTAGTCATAAACACATACCGTTACCCAGAGGTGAGTCTAACTAGACAGGAACATTTATTATAGATGTATGATTGCGAGAAGCAACATTAAATCATCATCCTTTTCTCTTCACTCTTACACAAATGTATCAATAGGTGAATTAAATATTCACAGGCACATAATGGCTGCGTAGATCAACATGTTTGATAAAAAAATACTAAAGATAATTTGTTTAGTGAAACCTGAAACTCAATTCTAAAAAAAAAAATTAATAATTAATAAATTTATTGTTAAGGATCATTATTCAGGTTTACAGTAGAGGGTTCATCATTATGATATTTACAGTGGAGTGTTTGTTATCATAACCTTTACAGTAAAGGGTTTCATATTGTAATATTTACAGTACAGGGTTTGTAATTGTAATATTTGTAGTAGAGGGTTTGTTATAGTAACCTTTACCGTAGAGGGTTTGTTATTGTAACATTTACAGCAGAGGGTTTGTTATTGTAATATTTACAGTAGAGGGTTTGTTATTATAACCTTTACAGCAGAGTTCATTATTATAATATTTACAGCACAGGGTTTGTTATTATAATATTTACAGTAGAGGTTTGTTCTTGTAACATTTACAGTAGAGGGTTTGTTATTATAATATTTACAGTAGAGGTTTGTTCTTGTAACATTTACAGCAGAGGGTTTGTTATTGTAATATTTACAGTAGAGGGTTTGTTCTTGTAACATTTACAGCAGAGGGTTTGTTATAGTAACATTTACAGTAGAGGGTTTGTTATTATAATATTTACAGTAGAGGTTTGTTCTTGTAACATTTACAGCAGAGGGTTTGTTATAGTAACATTTACAGTAGAGGGTTTGTTATTGTAACATTTACAGTAGTGGGTTTGTTATTGTAATATTTACAGTAGTGGGTTTGTTATTGTAACATTTACAGTAGAGGGTTTGTTCTTGTAACATTTACAGCAGAGGGTTTGTTATAGTAACATTTACAGTAGAGGGTTTGTTATTGTAATATTTACAGTAGAGGGTTTGTTATTGTAACATTTACAGTAGTGGGTTTGTTATTGTAACATTTACAGTAGAGGGTTTGTTATAGTAACATTTACAGTAGAGGGTTTGTTATTGTAATATTTACAGTAGAGGGTTTGTTATTGTAACATTTACAGTAGTGGGTTTGTTATTGTAACATTTACAGTAGTGGGTTTGTTATTGTAACATTTACAGTAGTGGGTTTGTTATTGTAACATTTACAGTAGAGGGTTTGTTATTGTAACATTTACAGTAGTGGGTTTGTTATTGTAACATTTACAGTAGAGGGTTTGTTATTGTAACATTTACAGTAGTGGGTTTGTTATAGTAACATTTACAGTAGAGGGTTTGTTATTGTAACATTTACAGTAGTGGGTTTGTTATTGTAACATTTACAGTAGAGGGTTTGTTATTGTAACATTTACAGTAGAGGGTTTGTTATTGTAATATTTACAGTAGAGGGTTTGTTATTGTAATATTTACAGTAGAGGGTTTGTTATTGTAACATTTACAGTACAGGGTTCCTTACAATAGTTTTCATCATCATGGTTTTACATTAATTCATTATCATCAAAGTTATTGATTTAGGAAACTTCTCTGGAAATTGAAATCATATAGTTCTTGTTTTTTGTTTCTAATTCCAGAGAAGATGCTAAGTGATTTAAGATTTCAAGACTGTTATAGAAATAGGACCGCCCATACTGCAACACATCTCTAGGAGGAAAGTCAGGAAGCAATAGATTTTCATAGGGTTCATAGAGACACACTACCTCACCTCTAACTAAAAATAGACCCAATTTCCTGCGAGATAAAACAAAAAATAATTATATCTAATTCTGAATAAACTTACATATAAATGTTTTATTATATCAATTTACATCCATTTTTTGTTTGTTTGGTAGAATTCATAGAAAATTCCTATTTTTCAGTCTGTGTATGAAATAGCTGACTCCAGAATCAATACTGACTTGATTGGGTTTTGTGTATAAATGTTGGATGATATTGATTTCTATTATTCTACACTAATTTGTACTCTATAGTTGTAATGAGCTTGGTACAATTTGCTACTTCAGAAATCATTCACAGTGATTTGGTGGGTATGACTTTGGTCAGCATAAATGTTTGTTATATTTAACAGGGGTGATGAATTTCATAGTTTGTAAAGGATTGAACCAGGAACCCCTGGTTTCCCAGTAATTTTAGGCTCTATTAATGGAATTTACAGTCCAGTCAGGAGAAGATTGATGTCATCGTTTTGTAATAAGCCCATCTTCTATTTTAGTAAAAAGCAATGTTTTGCCCACTTTACAGGATTAATATACTTAATCACATCCTATGAAATTTTACATTTTATAA